TCAGGCGGCAGGGGTGGAAAAAAAGTCTTATGCATAATATCGTATGCACCTAATATAATAAAAATAAAATATTTAGTAGAATAAAATAATAATTAATATTAATTACCTATTTTAGCTTACAAACTCATAATGTCACTTGTCAGAATATCTAAAATTGTGAAATCTATTGGGAGAGACCGCTGTTGTGGTCTAATAGACCTTGTTTTTGTAATATCTAAGTGCAATTTTTAATAATATTATCACTATATAATATATTGATATAATATTATAGCTACCACGCTACCTGTCAGTGTTGGGGAAGTTAATTATTTTTGGTACCTAATTAAATTACATTACTAATTCCTCAAAAAAATTGTAACTAAATTATTTTTAAGCTACATACATTACTTTTGAGTTTAAGGTTAGGTTAGGTTAAGCTCAATTACAATAGAAGTTACTTTTTTTCTTCAAAATATCACTGGAGCTTAATAATCATGTTGTCAATACAATAATACATAAACGAAATAAGTAATGACAATCAACAATATGAAATTTATTAACAGATACTCATTTTGCTACACTATAATAATTATTTTTATTTTTTTTATTGAGCTTAAACCCGGCAACTATGGCCATAAGCTGTTATAGGTGATTATTCACTGTGGTTGGTAAGGTTGGTATGATAAGGTGTTGTTGCGGTTGTTACGATAGGTATGCATAAACGTGCATGTGTAGGAAAGTTTTTATTACTACGGATTTGGGTGGTCACCCATCCGGGAACTTAGTAGCAGTGTACGTAACTTGTTCTCAGTCGTACTGTACGACTGGTAGCAGCCAAGCCACACTTTTATTATTATTATCGATAGTTCCAACAATGCTGTAGGTGCTTAAATAGCTATAACATGAATATTACAGTTCAGACAACTTTACCTATAAATTAAAATGCTTATAAGTTATATGATATATTTTAATATTTACACACACTATTATCAATACGTTCTAAATATTTATTAAACCAAAAAAAAGCAAAGAGTAATTTAGTAATAATTACTACACAAAAGTAACTTAAATTACATATAAATAACTTAGAATAAAATGTAATTAAATTACCATCAAATTACTTAAAAAGTAACTTCGTTACAGTAACTTGCAACTTAAGTTAAGTTATTCCCCAACACTGCTACCTGTATGGTGTATACAATTATTACTTTAGTGTACCTACTACTACGATCTGTAGTTTATTGTTCGATTATGATAAAATATAATATTGCTTAGGCTGTTGAATGAGAACAATTTTAAGGGGTCGGACTTAGGCAACATATTCTATATCCATCATGAGTGATGTGTTACTGATCATTAGTGTAGGTGAGTGCCCTGAATGCTTTGTGTAATTTAAGATAATATACAGCTAAGATTCTTACATACGTACACATACGCGCTGTCCAATACGGACATTATATTTTGAGATCAAAAAAGTTTCACCATGAAAGCCCCAAAAATCAGAAGAAAAATTCCCCAGTACCAAAAAACCGATTTTAATTTTGAAAACATACTTGAATTTTTTATTCTTTTTTCTAGGTTACGCAGGATATGGATTTTGTATTTTTTTGTATTATTTAATTAGTATAGTACTTATAAAATTAGTTGTATTTTTAATTTGCTTTTACTTTAGTGTTACTAAAAATGAAAATTCGAAAATCTATTTCATATAATATAACCTAGAGTCCTAGAATACTGAATAAGAAATTCAAATATTTTTCAAAATTAAAATTGAACTTCTGGAAGTATATTATATATTTTTTCGGTCTAAATGAACGAAAAACGACCTGCTTTCAACATCCTTAAACTTTCACCATTGATTTTATCGTTATTATAATATCATTGACTTGACGGTGTAGACGGTGTAGTGACCACTAGGTATACTGTATAGTGTTGTACATGTTGTATTTGGTTCATGTATTTATGTACATTATCAGGTAGGCAATCTACCTGCTGTAGATCGCGGACCCCGTGCTGTTTGTACGTAAGTGTATGATTTAACTCTAAAGTATCAAAGTTATAATAAGTTGATTTTGATATAATACGGTGTATTCAATTAATACATAATCCTAATCTAACCTAACCATACTAAAATCCGATGAATAAAAAGAAACCAAATTTAACCTTTTTTAAATTAGCCCGTCTTCTTCCCAGAGGTCTAATCTACACACAAACATTAATTTTTATATATATATATTGACAAAAAATAATAATACAAATCAACAAACACGCCCGATTAAACAATAGCTACCAAATATATTATACCCTATTATTATTTTAATCTGGAACAATAAACTACATTTTTATTTTATTAATCAGTTTATTTTTTTCTGGACAGATGACGCCACTATTGTATTATGTTACATCCATATTTTCTAATTTTTAGGTAGATTTTTCTATAATTTTAGATTCTGAGCGGAGCGATGAATGTATTGGTTTTACAATGATGTGTTTTTTTTTTATATTTTTATATTTTTTTATTTTGTGTCTGTCATCACGTTTTAGGACAGTAAAAGTGCTTGGGTTTTCTTCAACAGTAGCTTTTCTGATAGGAAAGTGAATCTAGTTGGTACTTTGGGGGGGGTCAAAAGTAAAAATTTCCCAGTAGTTTTCACAAGCGCCGCGAAAAACAACATAAAAATTAAGGAAAAAACGGGAATTTTTACGCAAAATCGGTTTTCTAAAAAATCGATTTTGGTTTTTGGTGTAACTCTAAAAGAAATGAACGTATATACATGAAATTTTCACTGGTTGTTTATATTTGCATTTTATATACACAATAACGTTTTCAAAATATTTTGATTTATTTTGAACTGTTTAGGGACATTTTCATTTTCCATTTTTTTTTAGTTTTTTTTCTAAAAATATCAATAAAATTTTATTTGTTGGTTGCGAAAGCTTGAAAATTTAATAGAAGGCTCCTAATATATTGTTTCAAAGGCAGATGAAAAATATTAAAAGTCCTTAGTCACAATTTTTTTTTATAAGCATTTAAAGTTCAAAAATTGTAAAAATATGGAAAATTAGCGAATTATTTTGAGTTAAGAATTCGTAAAAATTTTTCTTTTTAAATCTAAGATTTGAAAATGTAATACAAGATTACTCATAAGTTTGTCTACCTTTATCAATAAAAAAATCTCTACCGGAAAGTCAAATTAAATTTTTATGAGCGTTTGAAATTCAAATTTTTGCAACATTGGATGTTCACTCGATTTCTCATGTAGCGATTTCCTTATTTTGTTGTAATTCAAAAACGAATAAATGTAGATACATGAAAAATTCACTGAATGTTTATATTAGCATTTCCTATACACCATACAATTTTGAACATATTTTGACTCTTTTTGAGCTGTTTATGGACATTTACAGCTTTCAATTTTTTTTAGTTTTTTTTTCTATAAATATCAATAAAGTTTTATCTGTTGGGCCAAAAAGTGTAAAAATTTAATACAAGGCTCCTGATATATTGTTACAATATCAGTTGAAAAATATTAAAAATACATAGGCACAATTTTTTTTTATAAACATTTAAAGTTTAATTTTTGACAACATTTAACAAATTTAATATTTAAAAATGGTATTGTAGTTAAAAATTTATAAAATATTAAAATTTTATAGCTAAGGATTAAAAATGTGAAACAAGTGCCACGTAAGTAGGTTATTCGATAGTCTCAAAAAGATAAAAACATGTGCACAGTTTTTTTTTTGTTCAAATTTAGACGAAATTACATATTAAATACCTAACCAAGAATAACGATTATAGTTATTTTGTTTTAATTGTATAATATTAATTCAACTTACCGGCTACCGTTTTAATAATAAGTAATAAAAATATAATGTGAGACATCCACACTGACAAATAGTCTCCGCTCAGAATCGTTTATCGTAGGTATACAACGTTAATATTACCAATATCATTGAATTCAAATTTATTACCATTCATTATATTATTATAAAGACCCTCTTGTGTTCTTCTGTACAGCAGAGAAACATCCACTTACCCGTTTTTTTTTACATAGGCTGGTAGGTATTTTAAATTGTGGTGGCTTCAAAAAAAGTTTTATATTTTGAGTAAATTATTTGTATACATATCGTATAACCCCAAAACATGAAAAATACCTACGTAGGTAATACTATAGTTGACGCACACCTCTCGTGGACTTAAATAATTAAAAAGCTTTTATTATCAATTTGATAAAAATGTATAGTTATTTATGTACACAGCAGTATTTTAATCATAATTAAGTGCATAGTCCGTGACTGATCCGTAATAAACATGAGTGGTGTACCGGTATGTAAAAAAAGCATGAAAACCTCTGCTTTGAATTACCTATACACCAGCTGGTGAACAAAAGTTTGGCCCCCCAAAAATATGTCATATCTATATCAGTGCCACAAGAAAATCCTCTGAAAATAATTATACATACCTATTTTCTACTATATTGCACCTACCAGACTACTATATTATAATCATTGAAAAGTTATAATACTATAATTGAATGCAATCAAATACAATTATACCTATAAAGACACATTTACCTAGCTGTAAAATATGTATATTTAGGTTTTGAAAATTCCAGGAAGTAGTTATAACCTATCGAACTGTATTATAATATTCAGGACTAAGGTTCAGTGTTCAAAACAGACATGTGACAGTGGTATTATATTATCTACCTACTTTTATACATATATAAATCAATAGAATTTTAGTTATATATATTTTGATCACCAGAAAAAACAATAATAATTAAACAGAATATGTTTTATGCATGGTAAGTAATACTTATTACGTACCATGCATAAAACATATTATATATATTTCGTTTACAATTCACACTACATCGATGACAAATTTTTTTTGATTTGCGATTACTCGCAATGGACGCATATGTCACATTACAAAACCATAATTTTTAGTTGAACGCATACAATGAAGTGGTAATTGAAATATATGAGTAACAGCTGTGGCTGCTGCAGCGGGCTTATGCATCTGCGTCCTCATCGTCGTCATCTCCTTCGCCTTCCTCATCAACGGTCGCGTCTTGGTACTGTTGATATTCGGACACCAGGTCGTTCATGTTGGATTCTGCCTCGGTGAACTCCATCTCGTCCATGCCCTCGCCGGTGTACCAATGCAAGAAAGCCTTGCGCCGGAACATGGACGTGAACTGCTCGGACACGCGCTTGAACATCTCCTGTATGGCTGTTGTGTTGCCGATGAACGTGGCCGACATCTTCAGGCCCCTGGGTGGTATGTCGCACACTGCGGTTTTCGTGTTGTTGGGTATCCATTCGACGAAGTAGCTGGAGTTCTTTGTCTGCACGTTGAGCATCTGCTCGTCCACCTCTTTCATGGACATACGGCCGCGGAATATGCTGGCGGCTGTCAGGTACCGGCCGTGGCGCGGGTCGCACGCAGCCATCATGTTTTTAGCGTCAAACATTTGCTGCACCAGTTCAGGGACGGTCAGTGCACGGTACTGCTGGCTGCCACGGGATGTGAGCGGTGCGAACCCGGTGATGAAGAAATGCAGACGCGGGAACGGCACCATGTTGACGGCCAGTTTTCGGAGATCGGAATTGAGCTGTCCGGGGAACCGGAAGCACGTCGTTACGCCGCACATGGCCGCTGACACCAAATGGTTCAAGTCACCGTACGTGGGTGTGGTGAGCTTTAGAGTCCGGAAGCATATGTCGTACAGCGCTTCGTTGTCGATGCAAAACGTTTTGTCGGTGTTCTCCACAAGCTGGTGCACGGATAATGTGGTGTTGTACGGTTCCACCACGGTATCTGATACCTACGCACAAACATTTCGGATAGTTATATAGTTATAGCTGTACACAGTAAAATAATTATTAATTGTAACGGTTAGGTTAGATCTATTTTTACATTGTTCAGATATTTTATTGATTTATTGGTAGATTTAAATCGATTGAAATAATCATTTATGTGCAATGCATAAATCAACATTAATGGGAAAAAAAACGATGGATGTCACTCTGCTGTACAGTAGGTTACAAGTGGGTCAATGTATAATGGATTGTATTAAACTTGAATTCAATGATATAATATCATTGCATAAGAAAAACGATTCTGAGCGGAGACGGTTTGTCAGTACTCAGTCTGGATATTTTATATTGTTATTATTTACTATAGTTTATAAGTTGAATTGATATTTTAATATTATAATTTTTCATTCGCTTCTATGGTGATAAACAAAGCGGTTTTTTGTAATTTGTCGGGGATTTGTCCCGTGACGTTAAACAATTATTGAGAAAATCGAAAAATGACCTCTCTGAAGTATACCAGCTTGATCCAATTTACTAAAAGTTAAGAAACTATATTATGTTGAAATCAAAGCACTCCTTCTGGTAGAAATTTTGTATACAAGATAAAAAATAAATAAACACCATTATAAAACTATAAGCTTCCTCGCTCCGCTCAGAATCTAATAAACTAAACAAATATGAATAACTAAATAACAGTCACAATATTTTGAAGGTGGTATATATATTATGTATAGGATATAATAATACAATAGACACCGCTTATAAGACTCACGGATATAAGGTTCAGTCGCTTATTAGACTCAAAATCGTCTAGAACGGTCCGGACGAATCCAAATACATTAAAAAAAAAAATTGGATATAAGACTTAACACTTCGGTTATAAGACTCAAATTTCGTAAAATAAATAGTAGAAAATAAACTTTTTTGGTTATAATTTAGAAATAAATTGGTATTGAAAAATTAAATAATATTCGTGTTGATTATTTCTAGTTTCTGGCGGTACCTTATAACGTATAATAAAAATAAATAATGAAATAATAAATACATTATAATATGTACATTATACATAATTTATAATTTTTTATTAATGTAAAATTTTAATAATATTTTTATATGTAATATTTACCTATTATAATTTTAGTTTATTTTTATCAAGATTATTAAATTTATTCAATAATAAAGTATTTAATATGTAATATGTGTTAAAGTATTAAAATCAAAGCAAAATATGTAATAAAATAAAATTTATAAATACGTAATTATTTTTTTTTTCCACTTCGCCTATAAGATTTATTCGATTATAAGACTCACTTTGTGCTGGTCCCAAAGTGAGTCTTATAAGCGGCGTCTACTGTATATATTATTGTATTATTGTACCTATACATTTTACAAATTTCTAAAACATCTTCATCCCTCGAAATCAAAGTTTCACCTTGGTTTTGTTTTTACTCGCGAATTACAAGAAGAGTTATCATGATGTATTGTGATGGCAAATGGTAATGAACAGTTTTGATTAATTATTTCATTTTTTTTCTATATAGTTAATCGTTTAAAATATTATACTTTACTTTATAAAACAATTCTTACAAATCTAAAAAGACTTATCGATAATATTTTTCTAGTTAATTTAAAAAATACCAAGGGGAGTATATTGTGCCCCCCAGTTTACGCCTATGCCTACATATAGTATATAAATAAATATTTAAGCATTTCAAACTAAAATTTATATAAATATATTATAGGTACCTACTTTAAATATTTTTCGTAAAAATAAAATACAATAAGAACTATTTTTGTTTTAAGAATTTAGTTTTAATGAAAAATGATTTTTTACCTTGGGTGAAGGAACAATACTGTATGTGGTCATAATACGGTCCGGATATTCCTCACGAATTTTGGATATCAAAAGTGTGCCCATCCCGGAACCAGTTCCTCCGCCTAACGAATGGGTCAGTTGGAACCCTTGCAAGCAATCGCAACTTTCTGCTTCTTTCCTGAAATACAAATGTTGTATAGAATGATTTAACACGGTGATCGGATAGTTCGGTAAAATTCTTCATTTTAATGTACCTGACTACGTCTAAAACTGAATCCACTAGCTCTGCACCTTCTGTATCACAATCTGGAGCGGGCAATAATTGGGCCAAAGTTTCCTTTGGCCCAATTATTGCCCGCTCCAGATTGTCCAAAAACAAAGTTATCCGGTCGGAAAATTTGACCAAAAGGACCAGATCTCACTGAGTCCATGGTACCAGGTTCCAAATCCACAAGAATTGCTCGAGGTACATACTTACCACCTAACATTTCGACAAAAGTAATTGTAACATTTATTTTATTATTATTACATTACATCAAAATAGTATTTATAATAAGTAATAACATTACAGAATAATACAGTATAACTATTAAGTATTAACTAATACCTAACTACGGACATTTGGTTAATAAAATAAAATTTACCAAGCGCTTCAGTATAATAGACATTGATTCGTTCTAATTGCAGATCAGAATCTCCATGATATGATCCGGTTGGATCAATGCCGTGTTCATCGGAAATGACTTCCCAAAACTAAACAATTTATGATAAATTTGTAATATGTACATTGTACATGCGTATAGCCGTATAGGTAGTAGCTACCTATATTTATAAATAGTCTTTTAAAAATAATGTTGTTTCCCGATGATAAAACCTTTTAACTGTAAGTACCTATATAGTATTACGGCTATTACTAATTTAATTTATTATATAATAATTAACACAATAACTCATCGAGAATGTATTCGTTTATATTACCTTTGCACCAATTTGATTTCCGCATTGGCCAGCTTGTAAATGACAAATTTCACGCATGATTATTATACACCGGTAATCTAGTTAAATTTAAAAACGAAAATAATATGTTGTGTGAAAGACAAAGAATACAACTGAGTTCATCAAACGTTTGTACAATAATACACTAACATAAATACATAGAGACCGAATAGAATAATACCTAACATTCTCGTACATCATAATGGCCAGCTAACCATTATAAGTGACAGATGATCGTATGAAAATCATCGATGGTTTTTGTTTCCAAAGACGCTTATTAATTTATTTCGTATCGTACCCGAGGGAAGTGTTCGAAATTGAATTAATTGTTTGTTGAGTTAAGTACTACTTATAATTTCAACTTTACGTGTACTTATGTAGTACCTACCTATATTATGTTGTATATCATATGAATATTCAATTTTGTTATTTATTTTTTATTACATTGCCATTAAAACATCAAGTATAAGTATATTGAATATTAGGTTATTATACCTATATCTAATCATTTTTGTATTAATATTCTTATATCTATCTATATAAAAATAAGTGTACATTTTGAATAAATCTTATAGCTCAAGATCCACCGAACGATTTCGATAAAAATTTCAGGGCATATTAAGATTGATATATAAACGGTTTCTGTGAAGTTTGTACGCTGTGCGATAAATGATTCCGGAGTTATGGCCTCATAAGTGCACACCTGGCGACATGACCAAAAACAACAACAAAATGTATGAAAAATGAAAAAAACGTCTGTTGACATGACAACCACAATTCTATTTTCTAGATAAATATTAATTGGTTTGAGATTAAACGAGATTGATTTTTATTCAATATCAATTGTATGGATTTAGGCGTTAAAAAATGCCACGACCAAAACGACAAAATATTGGGTCAACTCTGAAACTAGGTACTTATCAGATCTTCTTGATTTTTTTTAAACGAAAGAGTATATCACAGAGAAGGTTATTATGAAACAAAATTTTAGGAAAATCCATCGGAAAAGTAGGAAATCTGGATGTCAAAAATGCAACAGAGATGCAACAGGTTAGGTTAGGATTTTGTATTAATTGATTATATTCATCCACCATAGGTAGAATACGACAAACTTGATATAACTTTGATACTTTAGAGTTAAATCATACACTTACATACAAACCAGGGGTCCAGTGGCGTAACTGAGAATGTTTAATGGGGGGGGGGATCAAAATAAATTTGTAGGGTAAACTTGTGGGGGCCTTTGCCCCCACGGCCCACACCCCCTTATCTATATTTTGTATAATTTAATAACTCAACACATCTAAATATAATCATTCTATATATTACATAACATTATACATTTACAAATATGTTTTAATATTTTAATAAACTCATTTAAATGTTTTATAATAATTAATATGTTATAACTAATAGTTATTGAATAAACTGCAGTGACTGCAATAATATTTTTAATAGGTACTTTTTTTAACTGGTGTTAATTTAATTTTGCATAATTTTAGCGCGAGTTGTAATGCTAATTTTTATAATAAGTTGAATACGTCATACATAATATTTAAACATTTAATGCCGGGTCTAATAATGTTTAGTATTTTAAATTGTAATACTTACGTCAGGCCCAGGCTTCTTTTTAAAAAAATTCAATAAAGTACTGCTAGTTGCTGGTAATTTTCTTTTTTTTTGCTCCATTTTGCTTTTAGCTTATAAAAATGTAACTGACACAGTGACACTGTGAATATGCGAGAATGACACGGTGTGTGGTGTGTCGGTGTGTATACCTACTGTGTAGTGTTAAATGTTTATACGTAAACGCAATAATCAATGTAGATACTTTGTGTTGGCGCGCTTTCTTAGTACCTACCTACTACCTAGTATCTATGGCTATTATTCGTTCTACGAAATGTAAATCTTAGTTACATTTTTATTATTAGGTATATTATGTTTATGGAATGGTGGTTTTTAAAATTATCGGATTACTTACCATCTATAATCTATTCAAAATTAGGTATAGTGTGTGGCAAGGCACCCAATGTTTATTAATAAATAAGAATTAAAATGAATCACACCATTTATTTTGAAATCATGCTTATATCGTTAACGGGTAAATATTTATATACGGGTACACAACTTCTAAACTTTTTTTTTTTTTTTTAGTTTCGTAATAATTTATAAGTTTTTATTTGAACTATTTGTAGGTATAAGACAATATATAAATACAGCTCATGGGGGGGATCTATCCCCCATATCCCCCCCGTAATTACGCCCCTGCAGGGGTCCGCGATCTACCGAAGGTAGATTGCCTACCTGATAATATACTGCTACGAATCGGACTTTTTATTCCGGGCAACGGAAAAGTTAAGGTAAATTTTAAACACCATACAACGAATATTAAATAACGAATTGAACAAAGTTTGAGTCATATAGAGTTGGTACATATTTTAAGGGGCAACGAAATGCACGGGTTCAGCTAGTCAATAATAAATATATCTGCACGCATTGGATAAACATTTAAGTATATAGTTTTAGATTCTGAGCGGAGCGATGAATGTATTGGTTTTACAATGATGTGTGTTTTTTTTTATATTTTTATATTTTTTTTTGTGTCTGTCATCATGTTTTAGGACAGTAAAAGTGCTTGGGTTTTCTTCAACAGTAGCTTTTCTGATAGGAAAGTGAATATAGTTGGTACTTTGGGGGGTCAAAAGTATAAATTTCCCAGTAGTTTTCAAAAGCGCCGGGAAAAACAACATAAAAATTAAGGAAAAACGGGAATTTTTACGCAAAATTGGTTTTCCAAAAAATCGATTTTGGTTATTGGTGTAACTCTAAAACAAATGAACGTATATACATGAAATTTTCACTGGTTGTTTATATTTGCATTTTCTATACACGATAACATTTTCAAAATATTTTGATTTATTTTGAACTGTTTAGGGACATTTTTATTTTCCATTTTTTTTTAGTTTTTTTTCTAAAAATAACAATAAAATTTTATTTGTTGGTTGCGAAAGCTTGAAAATTTAATAGAAGGCTCCTAATATATTGTTTGAAAGGCAGATGAAAAATATTAAAAATCCTTAGTCACTTTTTTTTTTTATAAGCATTTAAAGTTCAAAAAAAAAAGGTGGGCAAGTGGGTGTCGCTCTGCTGTACAGTAGGTTACAAGTGGGTCACTGTATAATGGATGGTATTAAATTTGAATTCAATGATATAATATCATTGTATAAGAAAAACGATTCTGAGCGGTGATGGTATGTCAGTCTATGTATAAGGCATATTATATACATATCTATGGTATTAAACAAAAAATTGACCTATAATAGGTACCTATAATAAATTCCAAATTAATCATATCACAATATCCATTAGATACTTATAACGCGTTATACATCAACAAAAACCGTGATACTATCATAGATATATAATAGTACACTTTAGAAGTTTCAAGTACCCACGAATAGTATTATTCAATCACAACAAAATAACTAAAATCGTAATTCTTGGTTTAAATATGAAATTTTGTCTAAATTTGAAATTAAAATGTCTGTAAAAAATAAGTGTGTTTATATATTTTTTAGATTTTTTGGTTACAGTATGAATTATTTAAGAGAATCTTTGTTTTAAATTTTCAACTCTTAGTTATAAAAACTGAACATTTTATAATTTTTTAATTCCAACGATTGATAATTTTCGAGATTTTGATAAATTTTGTCAAAATTCCAACTTTAAATGCTTATAAAAAAAAATCGTGCCTATGTATTTTTAATATTTTTCAACTGATATTGTAACAATATATCAGGAGCCTTGTATTAAATTTTTATACTTTTTGGCCCAACAGATAAAACTTTATTGATATTTATAGAAAAAAAAACTAAAAAAAATTGAAAGCTGTAAATGTCCATAAACAGCTCAAAAAGAGTCAAAATATTTTCAAAATTGTATGGTGTGTAGGAAATGCTAATATAAACATTCAGTGAAATTTTCATGTATCTACAGTTATTCGTTTTTGAATTACAACAAAATAAGGAAATCGCTACATGAGAAATCGAGTGAAAATCCAATGTTGTAAAAATTTGAATTTCAAACGCTCATAAAAATTTAATTTGACTGTCCGGTAGAGATTTTTTTATTTATAAAGGTAGATAATCTTATAAGGAATCTTGTGTTTCATTTTCAAATCTTAGATTTAAAAAGAAAAATTTTTACGAATTCTTAACTCAAAATAATTTGCTAATTTTCGTGATTTTTCCATATTTTGTCAATTTTTGAACTTTAAATGCTTATAAAAAAAAATTGTGACTAAGGATTTTTAATATTTTTCATCTGCCTTTGAAACAACATATTAGGAGCCTTCTATTAAATTTTCAAGCTTTCGCAACCAATAAATAAAATTTTATTGATATTTTTAGAAAAAAAACTAAAAAAAAATGGAAAATGAAAATGTCCCTAAACAGTTCAAAATAAATCAAAATATTTTGAAAATGTTATCGTGTATAGAAAATGCAAATATAAACAACCAGTGAAAATTTCATGTATATACGTTCATTTGTTTTAGAGTTACACCAATAACCAAAATCGATTTTTTGGAAAACCAATTTTGCGTAAAAATTCTCGTTTTTCCTTAATTTTTATGTTGTTTTTTCCCGGCGCTTGTGAAAACTACTGGGAAATTTATACTTTTGACCCCCCAAAGTACCAACTATATTCACTTTCCTATCAGAAAAGCTACTGATGAAGAAAATCCAAGCACTTTTACTGTCCTAAAACGTGATGACAGACACAAAAATATAAATAAAAATATAAAAATATAAAAATATAAAAACATACATCATTGTAAAACCAATACATTCATCGCTCCGCTCAGAATCTAAAATTGACAAAATATGGAAAAATCACGAAAATTAAAAAATTATTTTGAGTTGAGAATTCGTAAAAATTTTTCTTTTTAAATCTAAGATTTGAAAATGAAACACAAGATTCCTTATAAGATAATCTACCTTTATCAATAAAAAATCTCTACCGGACAGTCAAATTAAATT